AAGTAGGTGCTTTAGACCACTGAGCCATCTCGCCAGCCCTAGAACCTGTTTCTTGTGAATGGTTAAGACCAAGATAAAGCAAGACCTATATAACTAAATGCAATGTGTTAATTATTGAAATTGTCCTACCAATTTGATTTGAAACTGTCTCATTGCTACTTGTTCCTCAATAAAATTATGGGGAAAAAAGACCTATATAACTAAAAATGTAACCTTTGTATTTGATAGGGTCAGTCAAATCCCCTCAGGATTTACCCTGGAATCATGTACAACACCTTGTAGATCTTTTGTCGGTGTCAGCCATGTGGATGAGTCACAGCCATTGCTTGACCAGTGTGCTCTCTGTGAAAGCCTGAGAGAATGTTTTCTCTCCATGTGACTCTCTTTAGGCACACTCTACATCACCGATCGCTTTCCTCTGTGGCCCCATAATCTCTTTGATCAGAAAATTTGGGACACCACTGAGTTATAGGATGTCACAACACAGGTTCTCTTATACAGCTTCTCTAACTGTGGTGGAACACCATCTCTGAAAAAGCAAAACAAAAAGGGGGGTATGTTGGGAGCCATGAACGAGGAAATTGATCAAACATGTGTAGGTGGGATTTGGCCCAGTGCCTAAAGCAAACCAGCTACCTCACGCCTGAGATGAACATCTGGTCTGGTGAGGGCTAGCTGTCAGTTGCTAGGCAACCTAGTGTCATGCTTACTAATGTCATAAAAGTGTAAATAAAGGACTGTTTCTCTGTGGAAAAAAAGGGGAGGAAAGAAATTAAAAAAATATATATATACGCATACATTAGAGAGGATAGAATGTACATATACTTTTTCTTAGTTCATTGAGAATAAAAGTTTGTACTAATATTGTTTAGAAGGGTGGGTCAAATAGCTCAGAAGATTAAAGTGCCTGCAAGCACTTTAAAGTGCCTGCAAGCACCTGGGTCACGTTGAAACTGTGATTGAGACTGGGCGTGGTGGCACACACCTGTAATCCCAGCACTTGGAAGGCTGTAAACAGGAGAATCACTACAAAGTCTGATCTAGTAGTTAGACCCTGAACACTCTGTAGACCTTTCCTTAAAATGCAGGATAAAAAAATATTGTTTAGACAAGATATCATGTCTGCATCTTGTTCTCTGAATAACTACTATGCAGACAACAATTTGCAATGTGTTGATTATTGTAATCATTCTACTAATCTGTTTTGAAACTGTTTCATTACTATTTTATCTTTTTTTCTCATTAAAATGAATAAAATATATATTTTTTTAAAAGGGCCCTTTCGTTGGTTGGCTCCACCCAGTAGAGCTTCCTGACAGAGGGGTTTTCGGAGGTGCAAACATTTTGCTTTCACTGTTAAAGCAGAAGCACCGGCTCAAACAGCCTCCCCGGAGAAAACCTGAGAACCCAGTAGCTCCTTCAAAAGAAGGTGAGCCTCGCAGAGAAGAGGATGCCCTCGCCATGGAGCTGTGAGGGGCAGTGTGGGTGGGGTGCACCCGTGGGGGCGGATTGTGGTCTGCAGGGGCGAGGTGCCGAGTCAACAGCAAATGCAGCTGGGCGACAGTGGGGGTGGGGATGGGAAGGGGAGAGGCCGGTGGGGGTGTAAGATTTCTTAGCTTGGTGTCCATGTACCTCATAGTAATAGGCTAATCTGAGCTTTAAGCAAGTGACCTGCCATCAGTGCGTGCTGTGGTAGATGCAGAGGCCTTGCTGGTAACTTTAATAGGCACTTGGTGCTCTCCAGGCCGGCTCCCGATTCCCGCTCTACCACCCTGGACCCTAGGCCTGGAGTGCTAGGTGAGTGCTCCCCCCGGCCCCAGCGCGCGTTCCCAGCCCCTCCGGTCGGTAGGTAGCTTGCATATGGAGCTGGAAGGCGATGGCAACTTCTGGAATGCAAATGTAATACAAAATTGTTAAATTCCTTATAAATGAATATGCAGTCACCATGAGGCTCTATGCCTGAATCTTCTGTTTTTGTTACATGGCTCTATGTTTCTGGTCATTCATCAACATCTTATTCTTTTTAATTACAAAACTGTAATAATTTACCTTTCACTCTTTTTTTTTTCTTGATGTCTGGGATAATTGTCACTTTTTTCCATCCAAATGAATTGATGATCAATTTCTTATTTTTAGAGAAAAAAGATGGCAAAATGAAATTTGTGTGTATCTGAAGCCCCGTTGAAGCAGTGTCTACTTGTTCTTATTTTATAAAGTATTTCAACCAAGAATTAATGTGAAGTTTGATTAAATATCTTTTCTGCATCTAGTAATTCTCATCTGGCTCTATTAATGGCATATATTCTGACAATGAATATTGTCTTATGTAACCATGCTGGTGTTTTTTGTTGTTGTTGTTGCTGTTTTGTTTGTTTGTTTTTTGTAACCGGGATCGAACTCAAGATCTTGCGCTTGCCAGGCAGGTGCTTATGCCGCGGAGCTATCGGCCCCAGCCCTTTACACTAGCAGTTGTGCAACAAATCTCTAACATAGAGTGTTATTTGTTAGCATTTAACCATCCACGTAGGATTTTTGTATCAATAATCACAAATGAGAAACACTTGTGGTTTTCTTTTTGAATTATATGTGTTTCACAAAAATAGTGTTAGAATTTCTGTATTTTTTTTCTGTTTGATTAAAGTAAGTGCACAGATTCACGCAGCTCAGCATGATGTTTCAATATGTGTAAATGACGTGTACCAATGAAGTCAGGGTAACGCTCATGCCCAGATCCTTATCATTTCCTCTTAAAAGTGTCTTCTTTTTTGGTACTGGGGGCTGCATGCAGGTCTTTGCACTCACTAGGCAGGCAGTTGGGCACTCCACCAGGGAGCTAAAGTCCTAAGCCTCCTTAGCATTTTTTTATGTTTAGGGCCTTCAGCTCCTCTCTCCTAGTTTTCCAAGAAATGCACAACAGTTTAGTGTGAACTAGGATCGCCCTGCTGTGCCGCAGAGTGGCTTCACCTTTTATCTGACTGTTTTGGCGCCCACTGCCCAACTTCTCCTTGTCCTCTGTGCCCCCAGCCTTCCCAGCCACCCGGCAATCACCAGTCCACATCCAAACTGGCTTCACACAAAGGCCTACATGCCCAAGAACCTAACATGCAGTGTTAGTTTTTCTGAGCCTGGCATTCCAGTTAAGAAAAAGTCTTCCAATTCCACCCACTTTTCTGCAGACCAGGGAGTGTCATTGTTGTGTTTAGTGTTATGTGTGTGTGTGTGTGTGTGTGTGTGTGTGTGTGGGAGCTTCCATTCTGCTCTCCAGCATAGCTACTTTTTTTTCTTTGTATTTTAGGGAAGGGTCTACAGGGTGTTCAGGGTCTCACTACTAGATCAGATTCATAGTGATCTGCCTGTTTACAGCCTCCCAAGTACTGAGATTGCAGGCCCGCACCACCACACCCAGTCTCAATCGCTGTCTCAGTGCACCCCAGGGGTGGGGCTGGCATGCCACTCAAGGGATCGAACCCCAGCCCCTGCACTCTGCCGAAACAGGCACTTTAGTCTACTGAGCTATCAGGCCAGTCCTGTTTGGTCCATTTTAAATTGATTTTTGCTTAAGAAGTATGAGTCAGGTTTCAATCTTCTGCATGTGAATATCCAGTTTACCAACACCATTTTATTGAAGAGAGTGTCTTTTCTTCACTGTGTTTTGAACATCTTTGTTGAAGATAAGGAAGGCTGTAGATCTGTGGGTTTATTCTTGACCTCCATTTTATTCTATTAGTCTATGTATCTTTTTATGGCCGTCCCATGCTGCTTTTGTTGTGCCTTTGAGTGTGTCTTGCAATCATATGTTGTAATGCCTCCAGCTGTGTGTGGTTTTGTTGTTGTTGTTCAGGATTGCTTTGGCTACCTTGAGGTTTTTTTGTGCATCCAATAAATTTAGGATTATTTTTCTAGTTCTGTGAAGAGTATCATTGGTATTTGGAGATTAGGGGATAGGGATAAGATTATACTCGCTATGTAGCCCAAGCTGGCCTTGAACTCACAATCCTCCTGGCCTAAGCATCCAGAATGTTAGGATTATGAGTGTGCGATACTACACCAGGCTTTCTTTCCTTTTTCATGCTTCTTATGTCTCTGTGGTCATCTTTCCACATCTAGCATGCCCACGGTTTCTGTCTTCTTAGAGAGGTGACTTTCAGAGTGGAAGGCTTGTCCCTGAAGACTGCTCTGCTAGTGCTGTAGCTGGATGCTGGGCATAGTGTCCCTGGAGTTTCTCTGGCTATAACTGGTGACAGTGGCAGTGGGCACAGGGGCATGGGAATGCTTGCCTTTAGTCCTGGCTTGAGCACTTGGGCAGGCGACAGGGGCGGGGATGTGAATGCATTTAATTTGGGTTCCGGCTTTGGGCATGGGCCAGCAGATTGGCATGTGGCTGGTGGTGCTAGTGGGGACATTCTTATATGATCATGAACAGTTTAGCATTGAGACGATCAGAACTTTAAAAATTTATGGCTGGTTGCTTGTGAAGTCATCCATTCTAGGCGCTCCGCTGTGCAGAAACTTTAATTTCTCTATTATCTCTTCCCTACTAATTGGGCTGTTTATCTTTGTCTCTACCAAAATATACGTGAAAAATACCAAAATGTGAATTTTCACTGAAAGAAGAGAAAGAAAAAAAAAAAAAAAAAAAAAAAAGAATGGATCTGGTTCCCAGTTACCCGCGCTGGCATCTCTCTTTCCTCCCTCAGGGCCTCTGCACAGCACCGAGATCTCCTTGCGTGAACATGGCTGGGCAGCAGGACAGTGCTCTCAGGATCGTCTTGGTTGGGAAAACTGGAAGCGGGAAGAGCGCCACCGCAAACACCATCCTTGGGAAGCAAGCGTTTTGCTCTAAAGTTTCTGCCCAAGCTGTCACCAAGAGCTGTCAAACACAAACCCGAAAGTGGAACGGGAAAGATCTCCTTGTTGTTGACACCCCGGGACTCTTCGACACCAAGGAGAAACTGGCAACCACGTGTAGAGAGATCAGCCGCTGCGTGGTCGCCTCCTGCCCCGGCCCGCACGCGATCATCCTGGTCATACAGCTGGGCCGCTACACGGAGGAGGAGCAGAACACCGTGACCTTGATCAAGGCTGTCTTTGGCACGGAAGCCATGAAGCACATGATGGTCTTGTTCACGCGCAAAGACGAGCTCGACGGCGGCAGCCTGAGCGAATTCCTGGAAGATGCGGAGGTAAACCTGAAAAGCATCATCGAGGAGTGCGGGGACCGCAAATTCGCCGTTAACAACAAAGCGGATGCGGCCGAGAAGGAAGCCCAAGTGCAGCAGCTCATGGAGCTAATAGAGGAAATGGTGCGGGAGAACGGAGGGGCTCACTTTTCCCAGAACATCTACAAGGACGTGGAGAACATGAAGCACAAGGTGAAACTTCAGATAGAAAGTTACACTGAAGAGTTAGAGAATGAAATCAAAACAATACAAGACCGAAATAAGTCAGAGCAAGAGAAAAAGAAAGATATAGAAGTGGCGACAATGAACTATGATACAAAAATCAAAAATGCAAAAGAAAAAGCTGAAGAACATGTGTTTGAATATGTCTTCAACAAGATTCACAGTATTCTTTCAAACATATGGCGGACGTTTTGGAAGTAATATACACGACATTCTTTTTCAATTTACGTGTTGTTAACACAATATGCCGTATTTTCTGAAGCAATAGCTACAGCAATTTCTTTCTACCCCCTCCATATATTAGGGTCTAATTGGCAAATAAAACATGTATTTTTAATGTGTATATATATAAAATGAAATTATTTATTTATTTATTGCATTTAGTACAGAGTCTACAGGGTCTCACTATGTAGATAGGACTCATAGTGATTCTCCTGTTCTCAGCCTCCCAAGTGCTGGGATTACAGGCCCGCACCACCACTCCTGGTTTCAGTCACTATCTCAGCATGCCCTGGGGGTGGGGCCGGCACAGTGTGCCAGTAAATATAATGGAATGATTAAGGCAAGATAATGAATAGACCCATAGTCTTGCATAGTTTTCTTCTCTTTTCATGGACTGGGGACATTTACATTTTACTTTTTTAGCAAATTTCAAAAATATAGTCCAGTATTATTAACAACAGTTACCATGTTATACGTCAGACCTTCAGAATGCATTCTGCGTTCTGTGACGTGTATTTCGCTTACCCCAGCCTTTTCATTTCTTTTTATTTTTAATTTTTTTTTTTTATTTGGTACAGAGTCTTACTATGCAGCTTGGACTCGAGGTGATCCTCCTGTCTCAACCTCCCCAGTGCTGGGATTACAGGCACGTGCCACCATTCCCAGTTTTGGTGACCTGTACAGAGCGGGCCAGCACGGCATGTGGTACTGGGGATCAAACCCGGGGCCTTGTGCTTGCCAGGCAGGCGATTAGACTGCCAAGCTATCTTCCCAGCCCGGCCTTTTCATTTTTGAAAACCAACATTTTGTTCTTCGTTTCTGCAAGTGTGAACTTTTCCTAGATTTGGCATAGAAGTGATTTTTTTTTTTTTTAGCATTTGTCTTTCCATGCTTGGCTGAACTCACTTACCAGAGTGTCCCCAGGTTCATGTTGCAAGTGACAGAATCTTCTTTTTAACGGATGCAAAACATTCTGTTACACACACAAACACACACGCATATGCTCATGTGCTATCCTTTACCTGTTCACTCCTGGGTTTCAAGATCTTGTCTACTGTAAATAGCACTGGAATGAATATGGAGGTGCTAATATTCTTCAAGTTACCTGTTTTATGTCCCTTGACTATTACTTCATCCCATGTGGGCTCTTATAACATTGTGTCTTGTACTAATAAAAAATATAAAAATTTACGGGCCAGTCAGGTAGCTCAGTGGATTAAAGTACCTGCTTACGCAGACACAGGGACTGGGGCTCGATCCTCCAGCATGCCTTTCCAGCCCCACCCCTGGGGCCTGCTGAGGTGGCAGTTGAGACTGGGCATGGTGGCCCACGCCTGTAATCCCAGCACTTGGAAGGCTGAAAACAGGAGAATCACTATGAGTCCAGTCTGTGTACTGAGACCCTGTACTAAGTACATAAAATTTTTAAAAAGATCAAAAATTTAAAAAGTTAAGTCCTGTATCTTGTGCAGCTCTCACTGGTCCTGGGAAAAAGTGGTGAAGGGATTTAGGAATAAAGACAAGAGACAAAAGCTGAGGTCAGGTGGAGCGCTGTCTCCTGATGAGAAAAGAGGAACTGAGCAGCCACCGTAGGAGCATTTATTGGAACTTTTTATTTTTTGGTATTGGAAATTGAACTCATGACCTCACACTTGCAAGGCGGATGCTGTGTCACTGAGTTACTATTTATACTTTTAATAAAGTTAATATCATGCACACAGGGATGCCTAGCAACTAATGACTGGAATTGTCTCAGGCAAGATGTTTTTCTCAGGACTGAAGTATTTCCAGCTTCAGCTACTCTCTATAGTTAAGGCATATTAAAAGAAGACAATGTAATTTGTATACAATTAGGTGGCTAAATGAGGCCAATTATTGCCCTGAATCCAGTTGAATGACATCCCTCCCATTTCAATATTAGACAGGTGGTTTCTCAGAGTTGACGCTACCCAAAGATGTTGTGGTACATAGGGAAGGATTCCTGGGAGGGTGCTATCGGTGTCCACTTGAGTTTGGCTTTGGTGATTAGTGTTTCAGTAGGATACAAAGCATAAAAGCATGTTGTTGTGTGGCAGAAGTTTCAGAGTGAAGAGAGTAGAGGTTGATCATTGGTAGCCATAACTTTCACTGAACTACAGGGCAGGTATTTGTGTTTCCTACAAACCATATATGGATATGGAGGATATGGAGGAGGTAGCTAGCCAGGAGACAGCTTGAAAGCTTTGGCCAAGCAGTCCCCCAGAGGAGTGATGAAATCCCCATAGTGGACAAGAGTCCTGCAAGTCTACTGTTCCAGATTGGGGCTGGAGAGACCATACTAGCACTAGCTAAAATTGTGTTTGTGAATTTCTAAAAAAAAAAAAAAAAAAAAGTCTCACTGAAAAGTCATCAGTTGTACTCCATCAGGAAAAGAGTCCAACTTGTTCTGCTCATTTCCCTTCCCCTCCTCCTCACCTCTCACCCTTGTTTCCTTGAACCATTTTCCCATCACAAGAGATATTTCCCTGTGTGCATTTCTATCCATCTTCATAATTTCCTTTATATTTCACCTCAATCAAATTAGAGATACTGTATGATATTTAAGCTTGTGTCTATTTCAGTCAATATTATATTTTCCAGGCACACCAACTTTTCTACAGATGTCTCCAATGTCTGATTCTTTTTTTTTTTTTCCAATGTGTTGTTCTTTATAATCAAGTAGTATTCTATTATATGTAAATATCCATTTCTTTATCTAGTCATTTTTTGGTGGGCACACAGGCTGCTTCCGGGATTTAGCTATGATAAACACTGTGGCACACGTACAGCTGTAGTATGATTATTTAATTCTTGAAAAGTTTCTCTTTTAATTTTTTTGGTGGAACCAGGGATCGAACTCAGGCCCTTGCACTTGCTGGGCAAATGCTTATTCTACTGAGCCATCTCCCCAGCTGTGATATGATTATTTAAGCACTTTGGGCAAGATACCAAGTAGGCCGTGAGCCGGGTCCTGTGGGATTTGTAATTTCAGTTCTTTGAGATGTCTCTATGCTGATTTCCATAACGGTTGCAACGGTTGCTATTCCCACCAGCAACACCGGAGGGTTCTTTCCTCATACGGTCACAGTAGCATTTGTTATAGTTGATTTTCTAATGATGGCCATTCTTCCTGTAGTAAGAGGGAATCTTAGTGTTGTTTTAATTTGCATTTAGTGGCTAGAGATGCTGAACATTTCTTCATATATCTGTTGAGCATTTGTGTTCATTCCTCCATGAAGTGTTTGTTCATTTCTCTAGAACATTTATTGCCTGGGATCCTTAATTTTAGGTGTTTTAGTTTTGCTTTTTAGTTCTTTGCATATTCTATATGTCAGTCCTCTGAAGAGTCACTGGAAAAAGTTTTCTACATTCTGTAGTCTGCTTCTTCATACATTTGTTAATTCTTTTGCTACACAGAGCTTTTAAGAATCTCATAGAATGAAGACTCTCATGTATTTATTATTGCTACTCTTTCTTTGCAATTGAGGTTCTGCTTAGGAAATGCTTTCCTATGCCTATGATTTCAATTGTTCTACCTACTTTATGTTCCAGAGGGTTTACTGTTTAGATTTTTGTCCACTTTAATTTAAATTAGGATATGGTGAGAAATGAAGGTCCAGTTTCATTCTCCTACAAATAAATAACCTGTCTTCCCAACACACCACTTCCCTCCAACATATGCTTTTAATATGTTTGTCAAAGATCAAATAGTTGAGTGGGCTTGGTGGGGTATCTGTACCTTCATCTCTGTTCTATTGATCCATGTGTCTGTTTTTGCTCCAGGACCACATCATTTTTAATCACTATTTCTTTATAGTATAGGTTAAAGTCAGGTATTTCTGTGCAGCCTGCTTTGCCTTTATTGCTCAAAATTATTTTTGCTTTTCTGGGTCTCTTTTGGTTCCATACAAGTTTTAGGATTGTTTTTTTCCAGAACTGCATTGGGTATTTTGATTGGGACTGAATTGAATACGAATAAAAGTTTTGGAAGTATAGGCATTTTGACAGTATTTTTTTTTTTCTGCCTACTGAGGAAGAGAGGACATATTTCCATGTTTTGATGTCCCCTTCAAACACCTTCTTCATGGGCTGGTGAGATGGCTCAGTGGTCTAAAGCACCTACTTAGAACAAGCTTAGCAAAGCACAGGGACCGAGGTTCAATCCCCCAGCACCACGTGCCAGCCAGCCCCGCCCCTTGGTAGGCTGAGCTGGCCACACACACACACACACACACACACACACACACACACACACACACATAAATAAATATAAAAAAAAAACACCTTCTTCAGGACACTGTAGGTTTTTGTGTAGCGGTCTTTCACCTCCTTGGTTAGGCTAATTCCCAGCTATTTAATTTTTCTTGAAGTTACTATGATTGATATTGTTTTCATAATTTCCTTCTCATCCTGTTCAATGTCGATGAACACAAATGCTAATGATTTTTGTATGCTGATCTTGGATCCTGCTACTTCGCTGAAATTTTTATGGATCGTAAGAGTTTCTTGGTGGAGTTCTTTGGGACTTCTATGTAGAGTATCATGTCATTGGCACATAATGATAATTCAAATTAACTTGAATTCCTCTTTTCCTCTATAGATCTCCTGTATGTCCTTCTACTGCGTAATTGCTTTGGCTAATATTTCAAGTTCTATGTTGAAGAGAAGAGATAAGCGTGGGCATCCTTGTCATGTTCCTGATTTTAGTGCAGTGCAGTACAACGCTGGCTATTGGTTTGTCAGAATTACCCTTTATCAGATGTAGGTATGGCCCTTGTGTACCTGTTTTCTTGAAGATTTGTGTCATGAATGGTGTTGGGTTTTTTCAAAAGCTCTTTCTGTATCTATTGATATGATCATTTTTTTCTTACCTTGCTCCTATTTAAGTATTGAACTACACTTATTAAGTTATGCAGGTTGAACAATCCTTCTTTCTTTAGGGTGAACCAGGGATGCAAAGATGATTCAGTACATGCAATCAATGTAATACACCACACCAACAGATCCAAGGGCCAAATTACGTGATTATTTCAATAGATGGAGAAAAAGTAGTCAACAAAGTTCAACACCC